GTGGCACAGCACCTGAAAAGATACCTCAGGGAACTTAATGAGGAAAAGCTTGGGAGATTTTTGAGGTTCTTCACTGGTTGTATCTGGTGATATTGAGGTTGAGTTCACAGTTCAGACCAGTTTCACAAGAAGGCCAATTGGACATACATGTGGGATGCTCTTATAACTGTCTGACAGCTATGATCATTTCCCTGACTTCCGCAGTGAGTTCAATTCCATTCTACAGAGCAACGTCTGTGTAATGGACATTGTGTAGTCAGGAGTTATGATATCAAGGGTTGCAGTCTGAATGCTTTCATTTTTAAATTGAGTGAAACAGTTATTCTCACAAACACATACATTCATTAAAGGGATTACCATGTTCTTCATATAAACACACACATAAAGCCGCACACATGCTTGTTTAATAGAAAAGGTTGTTCTATGACAATTACTGTTCACTATCTCGATTATAGAGAAACTGAGTGAATGTTCAAGCTATAGTGCATACATTTTACAGATGAATGAATGTCTGTTACATTCAAGCCCTTGTCAAACGAGTTCACATAATGCCTGTCACCACTAGGTAAATCTCTCTGTATTTCACAATATACAGAGTTTTTAAACCTGGTGTCTGGGTAGATATTCCCGCCACTGCTGGGAGAAAACTCTGCATACTGTGAAATACAGAGAGATTTACCTAGTGGTGATAGGCATTATGTGAACTTGTTTGGTAAGTGCTTGAATGTAACAGACATCCATTTATCTGTAAAAGTTACACACTAGCTTTCAGTTATGATGAACTTGTTCAAATGTTAATGGTTGAAGCATTGAAGCATGAACATTTCATTCATGGTCAAGGATTAGAAGAAGTTTTCAAAGACAGTGTGTTTTCTTTGAGTCATTTGCAAATTCCTTGTGTAATGAAGTTTTATAATCAATGGCCATTTTTGTACACTTCAAAAATTTGTAATAAATTTTTTTGAGATTAATGATTAAAGTCATCTGAGAAAGATTTGAAATGTTTATTGTGTAGCAGTGGGCTTTAACTACATACAGTACTTTCACTCAGACACAGTACTTACTCAAATACAAATTTGAGGTACTTGTACATTAAATGAGAATTTCCATTACATGCTACTTTTTTCTTCAAATCTACGTCAAACCAGAGGGAAATATTGTTTCACAACTCACAGGGGTATTTTTATGCATTATGAGCACTTTTACATTTTATACTTGAAGTTTTTTTTTCTGATGATGCATGCTTTTACTTAAGTGATATTTTCAAATAATTACTTTCACTTGGAGAATTGTCACAGTTGGGTTATACTACTTTTACAAAAGTAAAGGTTGTGAATACTTCTTCCACCTCTTACTTAGGCAGATCCACCGAGGCAAGGTAATTGCTAATGTTACAGCAATTTAAAGATTTTCAAGTATCTCATTTCTTAGTAGTGAATACAGTTCTGCTGCAGCATATGCATCCAAAGGAGCATCCCAGCCATTTTCATCAATAAGATGAATGCAAAGCTCAAAAACAGTTTCATCACAGGGGTACTGCCCTTTTGGGGTGCACTCCTCCTTGCAAACAGCTATTTTCTCCTCCAGAACAGGCTGGAGTTTGTCCTCTGCTGCATACAGCTGTGGCATGCTGAACATGAGAACAGGGCGTCCTCCAGGCATCCCATGGGCAGGCCTTGTTCTTATTTGGTGTGTATTCCATGTTCTTACAGCCTCATCCAGTTCATCCTGCATGACAATAAATATTCAATTAAAATGGTTGCTGTCAACAGGACCACATAGACACTAAAAAGGATAGTGATAGTTTAACAATCTCTAGACTGATATGAAATGGAAAAGCCAGCCTTGGGTTTCTGGACTTTTACATCAGCAAAATGTTTGAAGACACTGCTACTGGGAATTGATATGGGATTATTTCCACCTGTTGAAAGTAAACTCTGCGTGCACACACCTAAATAGTGTGATGGGCCTCTAACTGTGCAGGCAGAGATTATCTGACATGCACTGCAGCTGATAAGACCGGTGTATACACGTTGCCATGACAACAAAAGACAATTTTGATTTTCAGCTAGCTTAGTCTGCGGATTCTCTATAACTGAATGTTTGTCATTTTGATTCATAAACAGTATACCGTAAATAATCATGCCTTTTATTTAGCAATTACCTGGAAAAGGTTGAGGAAGCAGAACTGCATCAGGTTTTTGTCCAAGAAGTCACCTGTGAAATATCCATCATCTCTGAGGGTTTTAAAAATGTCCATCCAAAATTGCACACTGTTTACACAAGACCCCCCACCATGACTCTATCCGTTGATTGGCCGTGCTGCATCCATAAATTAATCTTCCTTCTCCCGCATAATGGTCCTGGTGATTCCTCAGGAGGAACAGCTGCATTTCTCTGACATGCCCATTTTCCGTACCTGGGTCGGCTCGCGCCTGCTGTGGACGGCCTCCAATGCGTGTCACTGTGTTTATGAAGTAGTCCGGGATTACTTTTGGGTCACTGTTAGTGTGATATGCTTCCATCCACATTATGTGACGACTAAATCCGTCAATGCCGCCATTAATTGCAATGCCATACGGTTTCAGCTTATCATAGGAATCCATATGCCACAGGGCGTTGGGCCCCCTGCTGTTGTACTGCCAACGTCGGAGACGCCGTGCTCACCGTAGTTCCACTCCCTCTGGATCCAAAATCTTGATGATCATCCTCATTGTTTCCTTAGAAACAACAAAACAAAACCTCCTCTCACGCAGATGTAACCACCGATAGCCTTGCAGTTGACCACTACCAGACAGCTCCTCTTCCACAAAAGAAGCTATTTCTTTTCTGTGTGGTTCTTTCTTAGACAGTCGTTTGCACAATTGTTT